TGTGTGTGTGTGTGTGTGTGTGTAATATATACACATATATATGTAACATATGTGTGTGTGTGCTACATCAAATTCTGTGACATGGATAATTATAGGAGTTGAACCAAAAATTGAATCTTTTCTGACAGTCCACTCTCTCCCTGGGAGATAGAGATCCAAGATGGGGAGGAAGTGCTGGTCTGCAAGGTGATGATGCCAACGTCGCTGTTGTCCACACCACACCATGGGGAGCTGTTTATCCTGTACTGTTGATAATTCGTGTTCTCCTTTTGTGTCACCTTGACAGTGCTACTGACATTGATACCCTGGGAATTAATCCATTAGACCTGAGGGAAATAGTTTCCAGCTCATGCTTTACAAATATATCCCATATGCCTCCGCTGCAGGAGGAGAAGTCCCCAGTGGCAGCAGTCCTGAAGACAGCTGCATCAGTGTGTGGAGAGTCTGAGGCTTCTGCATGGCAGGCAGCACAGGAGGGGACCAGGTTCCCTTGTGTCCAGCTCTGCAATGCCCACAGCTCACTGTGTGCTTCCTGGAAAAGTGAGAGTACGAACACAAGAGATGTCTCCTTTTCATCAGAGATCTTCCTCCTCAGGGGAGACCTTAGACTGACACCCCTGTACCAGATCCACCTCAGTGCTGGAGTAAGTCCCTCAGAACTTGCTCATTAACATCCTCTATTCCTCCCTCCTTTCCTTTATTCTATCCTCCCTACCTCATTCCCTCCACCCACCCACAATTCTCCCCTTTCTTTTTGTGTATATGTATGTGCATATGTCTGTGTCTTATGCACGTGGTGTTCATGCACAAGTGTGGGTGTGAGGGCCAAGGTTGATGTCTTCCTCGACTACTCTGCCTCATCAAAATATTTTTAAGATTTATTATTTTATCTATGCGTATGAGTGTTTTGCCTAGGTGTAAATGTGTACAGGCCAGAAAAGGGTGTCAAATCCCTTGGAACTGGAGTTATGCATGACTGTGAAACACCACATGGGTGTTGGGAATTAATCCTGGGTCCTCTGCAAGAGCAGTAAGTGCTTTAAACCGCTAAGCCAGTTCCTCCACTCAGTTTTTCAGACAGGGTGTCTCACCGAATCTGGAGATGACCGATTGGGGTAGAATGAGTGGCAGACACGTGCTAGGGATCCTCCTGGCTCTGCCTCCCCAACCCTGGGATTACAGGCACACAATGTCACTCTCAGATTTTTATGTATGTGTTGAGAATCTAAATTTAGGTCCTCATGCTTTTGCGACAAAACCTCTCGCAGAGCTGCCTCCATCGCTCTCCTCCTCTGTTTGTCCCTACCCGGGTCTCTTGGGCCCCTTGGCTGTCTGACTGCTGGGTTTTCATGTGTTCTCTGAAGACAGGAAGACTCAGGCCACCTGCAATCTTTGGTTCCTCTTCTGTGAGCCACAATCTGTTGATTTTCTGCAGCTTTCTCAGTTTCTAGAAAGTTGTGCCTGTGTCTCCCTTCCTTTGCTCACTCGCAGCCATTCATCAGGATGCCGCTGCCCCGACTGCTGTTTCTGCTCTGGGTCTGCGAGTGGGTACCTGGAAACCACTTTCTTTTCCCTATGGTGTCCACAGTTACCTGCGAGACACACAAGCTGGAACTGAAGTCCAGCCTAGTGAAAGTGCAGGAGGGTCTGTGTGTCCTTGTGCCCTGCACATTCTTTGAACAGTCTGGGAACCGAAGCTCAGATATGGTCTTTGGCTACTGGTTCAGAGCAGGGGCAAATACAGACCATGATTCGCCCGTGGCTACAAACAAACCAAATCAACCGGTGAAGAATCAGGGCCAGTTTCATCTCTCCGGGGACCCAAGGAAAAATGATTGCTCGCTGGACATCAGAGATGTGCAGAGGACCGACAGTGGATCTTACTTCTTCAGGATGGAAAAAGACTCCTTTAAGTGGAATTACTATATGAATCAGCTCTCTGTGCAAGTGACAGGTAAAGTACTGGCTCCACGCTGGCCAGAGAGGAAGCTCATGGGTGTCACGGAGCAGGGCAAGGGTCCCGACCGAAGAGTCACTGGGGATGGAGGAGAGTAACAGAGGAGTTGGGTAAGAGCCTGTGTCTCTCAATGGCTGTGCTCCCTCATCCTGATCCTGCATGTCTTTCTAGCCTCACCAGCCCTCACTCACATCCCCAACATCGATATTCCACAAACGCTGGAGCTTGGCCTGCCTAACAATGTGACGTGTTCTGTGCCCTGGGCCTGTGAGCGGGGCACGCCCCCCATCTTCTCCTGGATGACAACTGCCCTAGCATCCCTGGGCCCCAGGACCACCCTCTCCTCAGTGCTGACCCTCACACCCAGGTTCCAGGACCATGGCACTAACCTCATCTGCCAAGTGGCCTTCCCTGGAGTCGGTGTGACTGTTCAAAAGACTGTCCAGATCAATGTCTCCTGTGAGTTCAACCCAGGGCTGGGATTCATGGTGACTGTGTCATAGTTGGGCTGGGAACTGAGACAGACATGGGTCCTATACCACTCAGATTCTGTTCTTTCCGGACAGTTGTGGGGAATAGGGCTGAAACCTGAGACATTGTTTTGTTTTTGTTTTGCCAAGATACTATACAGAACGCCACAACCCATGCCCCTGGAGGAGCTGGTCCAGGTAGGGGGAGTCATCTTGGGTTGGAGGGAAGAGAGTCTCTTTAGCTCAGAGCAGGGTCCATCCTTCCTTATCCTGGCTGCTCTTGTAGACCACCAAGGTTCAGTTCTCAGCACCCACATGGCAGCCTGTAGCTATCTGTAAGTCCAGTTCCAGAGGAGCTGACAGCCTCTTTTGGCCTTGGAGAGCACCAGGCACTCATGTGTGCACATACATACATAAAGCAAATAAAAACATAAAAACTTTGAAAAGGTTTTTTGTGTGCCCATTACTACCATATGTAAACGTGCTCTTCAGTTCTGTAAGTCCTTGATATTTTCAACTGCAATTGTTGGTTTTGACTTTTGATGCAGAATCTTGCTATGTAACCCAAGCTGGCTTTGAACCTATGGTCTTATTGCTTCATCCTTCTGAGTAGTGAGATTATAGATAGCCACCATGCCTCTGTGATGGAAGCTTTAATTATGAAATAAGAGAGTGATTTTTTTCTGATGTATTGTTGGCAACGGGATGAGTCTCAGATCTGGGGTGCAGGGAGATTTGGAGGATCAGATCTAAGTTCTGTGGAGAGAGGGTGTCTGGGATTAGCAGGTAAATTAAGGTCCATCTACATTTCTTCAGGGATATCAGGGCCCCTGGCAGAGGTGGTTCTCGTGGCCATTGGAGAGGCGACTATCAAATTCCTGCTTCTTGGGATCTGCTTCTTCTTCCTAAGGTGAGTGCTGCTCCTGGGGCAACGGGAGGTGTGATGAGGGCAGAGACACAGGACCGAATCTTAGATTACCTGTGCTGGGAGACAAGATGTAGGTCTTAAGGGTTGGAATCCAGACAGGGAACTCTTGGGTACTGACCTCACCAAGCTGGAGCTGTCAAATGTGGCAGATAAGGGAGTGTATTAGTCAGAGTTCTCAAGAGAAACAGAACTGATGGAATGTAAGTACACACACACACACACACACACACACACACACACAC